CCTGGGCGAAAAAAGCAAGACTCCATCTCAAAAAAAAAAAAAAGAAAAGAAAATGAGGGAGAGGAGTAGGCCCACCTGTAATCCCAACACTTTGGGAGGCCAAGATGGGTGAATTATTTGAGGTCAGGAGTTCAAGACCAGCCAGGCCAACCTGGTGAAACCCTGGCTCTACTAAAAATACAAAAATTAGCCACACATGGTGGCAGGCACCTATAATCCAAGCTACTCTCGAGGCAGGAGGCTGAGGCAGGAGAATCACTTGAACGCAGGGGGTGGAGGTTGCAGTGAGCCAAGATCCCGCCACTGCACTCCAGCCTGGGCCACAGAAGGAGACTCTGTCTAAATTAATAAAAAAAAAACAAAAAACAATTAGGGAGAAGGGCCAGATGAGGTAGCTCACGTCTGTAATCTGAGCACTTTGGGAGGCCAAGGCAGGTGGATCACTTGAGGTCAAGAGTTCAAGACCAGGCTGGCCAAGATGGTGAAACCACGTCTCTATTAAAAATACAAAAATTAGGGCTGGGCATGGTGACTCACGCCTGTAATCCAAGCACTTTCGAGGCCAAGGCAGGTGGATCACCTGAGGCAAGAGTTCAAGACCAGCCTAACCAACATGGTGAAACCCCATCTTTATAAAAAAAAATATATATATAAAAATTAGCTGGGCATGGTGGCAGGCACATATAATCCCAGCTGCCCGGGAGGCTGAGGCAGGAGTATCACCTGAACCTGGAAGGTGGAGGTTGCAGTGAGCTGAGATTGCGCCACTGCACTCCAGCCTAGACAACAAAGTAAGACGCTGTCTCAGGAAAAAAAAACATGAAAAAGAGGGAGTGGGAATAATCAAAGCAATAAAACAGGACAATTTCCCACATCTGAAATTGTGGGAAACTGTCCTGTTTTATTGTTTTGGAATAAATGAATTTTCTGGAAATGAATTTCCAGAAAAACCAATGCCTAGAAAGTACCTACCACAATGAATGAAATAAAAGCCCACATAGTCATAAAATCACAGGAATAAAGATAGGTTCCTAGGCCTGGCTCAGTGGCTCACACCTGTAATGCCAACACTTTGAGAGGCCGAGGCAAGTGGATCACTTGTGATCAGGAGTTTGAGACCAGCCTGGCCAACATGGTGAAAGCCCATCTCTACTAAAAATGCAAAAATTAGCCAGGCATGGTGGTGGACACCTGTAATCCCAGCTACTTGGGAGGCTTAGCCATGAGAATCACTTGAACCTGGGAGGTGCAGGTCACAGTGAGCCGAGATGGCACCACTGCTCTGCAGCCTAGGTGACAGAGTGAGACCCCATCACCCAAACGAACAAAAAAAGATAGGTTTCTAAAAGCTTCTATAGAAAAAAGTATCTGTATGTGCACACACATCTGTGCATGTGTGCATGTGTGCGGGGGTGGTGGGGGTGATTATCTACAAAGGATCAGAACTTAAAGTAGCATTTAGACTTATACAGCATTGGCAGCCAGATGAAACTGAAATAGTATATTCAAATTTATAAAGGTAGCCAGACCTGGTGGCTCATCTCACTAATCCCAGCACTTTGGGAGGCTGAAGTGGGAAGATTACTTGAGTCCAAAAGTTTGAGGCCAGCCTGCGCAACATAGCAAGACCCTGTCTATACAAAAAATTAACAAAATCAACCAGGCATGGTGGCTCGCACCTGTGGTCTCAGCTACTCAGGATGTTGAGGTGGGAGGATCGCCTGAGCCTGAGAGGTCGAGGCTGCAGTGAGTTGTAATCATGCTACTGAACTCTAGCCTGGATGAAAAAGCAAGGCTAGCTAGGCAAAGTGGCTCACGTCTGTAATCCCAGCACTTTGGGAGGCTGAGGTGGGCAGATCGCCTGAGGTCAGGAGTTCGAGACCAGCTTGACCAAAATGGAAAAACCTCATCTCTACTAAAAATACAAAAATTAGCGGGGCGTGGTGGCATGTACCTGTTTGTTATCTTAGCTAATTGGGAGGCTGAGGCAGAAGAATTGCTTAAATCCAGGAGGTGGAGGTTGTAGTGAGCTGAGATCATGCCACTGCACTCCAGCCTGGGTGACAAAGCAAGAAAGAAAGAAAAGAAAAGAAGAAAAGGAGAGAAGGAAGGGAGAGAAAGCAAGAAAGCAAGGAAGCAAAAAAGGAGATACAGACATACAGACTCTAAAAATTTACCTCCTATGCACCCTTCCTTGGGAACCTAGTGGAGGTTACTCTAACCAAATGAGGGTGTAAATTGAAAAGAAAGACAGGGCAGCTGAGAAACAAGGGAGACAAGACTAGAGAGCAGCCAAAGACGCCCCAGGATAACAGCCATGCAGAAGACAGGCTGAGCCTAAGATAGTAGACTCCAGGAAAAAAGGTCTTCAGGAAAAAACTTAAACTGAAGCTTTTGAGTTCATGGAAAATATTGATGAATATCTGACAAAGCATATAAAGCATTTGGAAAGAAATTATCGGCCAGGCACAATGGCTCACGCCTGTAATCCCAGCACTTTGGGAGGCCAAGGTGGGTGAATCACTTGAGGTCAGGAGTTCCCGATCAGCCTGGCCAACATGGTGAAATCCTGTCTCTACTAAAATTACAAACAACAGCCAGGCATGGTGGCGGGCCCCTGTAATCCCAGCTACTTGGGAGGCTGAGGCAGGAAAACTGCTTGAACCTGGGAGGCAAAGATTGCAGTGAGCCAAGACCACGCCATTGTAATCCAGTCTGGGCTACAAGAGAAAAAAGAAAGAAAAAGAAAAAGAAATTAACAATTGGCTTACAGAAAACAAAGCAAATGGAAAAATGAGGTAATTATTCATGCCAATAAAAACAAAAAGATGTAAAATACATTATACTATTAATATATAGGCCTATTCAACTATAAAAAATGAAGTATATTATTATGTGAAAAAAAATCAAAGTACAGAACAATGTATATAGTAAGCTGCCTTTAACTATGAAAGGGGGGAAGATACGAATATCTACTTACATATTTTTTTTGAAACATGGTCTTGCTCTGTCACCCAGGCTGGAGTACAATGGTGCGATCTCAGCTCACTGCAACCTCCACCTTCTGGGTTCAAGTGATTCTCATACCTCAGCCTCCTGAGTAGCTAGGACTACAGGCATGCACCACCAAGCAAGGCTAATTTTTATACTTTTAGTGGAGATGGGGTTTAGCCATGTTGGCCAGGACGGTCTTGAGCTCCTGATCTCAAGTGATCCACCCGCCTCAGCCTCCCAAAGTGCTGGGATTACAGGCATGAGCCACTATACCCGGCCTACATTTTCTTAAATCAGCAAAAACAATAAAAATTGTTACCCATGAGAGGGAGGGAACTGGGTAGCGGGGTCAGAGGTAAAAGCTAGACTTCTCTGAATATACCTTTATCTTATAGATGTGATTTTGGAACCATGTAAATATTTTTAAGAAGTATAAAACAGGCCGGGCGCAGTGGCTCATGCCTGTAATCCCAACACTTTAGGAGGCCAAGGCAGGCGGATCACGAGATCAAGAGATCAAGACCATCCTGGCCAACATGGTGAAACCCCATCTCTACTAGAAAAATATACAAATTAGCTGGGTATGGTGGCGCACGTCTGTAGTCCCAGCTACTCGGGAGGCTGAGGCAAGAGAATTGCTTGAACCCAGGAGGCAGAGGTTGCAGTGAGCCGAGATCACACCACTGTACTCCAGCCTGGCACCTGGCGACAGAGCGAGACTCTGTCTCAAAAAAAAAAAAAAAAGAAGTATAAAACAAAACAAATTTTAAAGAATCTGTAAAATTTGAAAGCAAAATGAAAACAAAAAAAAGAACCTGTGTATCAAGCATCCTAGTTAGTGGCTTAACTGCAAAGAGAAGAATTATTTCAAGGGACACAGTAATTTGACATAAAGAACTAGAAAGAAGCCAGGTGTGGTGGCTAAGGCCTCTAATCCCAGCACTTTGGGAGGCTGAGGCGGGTGGATCACTTGAGGTCAGGAGTTCAAGACAAGACTGGCCAATACGGTGAAACTCCATCTCTATTAAAAATACAAAAATTAGCTAGGTATGGTGGTGTGGGCCTGTAGTCCCAGCTACTCTGGAGGCTGAGGCATAAGAATTGTTTGAACCCAGGAGGTGGGAGTTGCAATAAGCTGAGATCATGCCTCTGCAGCACTCCACCTAGGTGACAGAGTGAGACTGTCTCAAAAGAAATTTTAAAAAAGTCTCAGAGGCCAGGAGCGGTAGCTCATGCCTATAATCCTAGCACACTCTGGGACATAGAGGTGGGAGTACTGCTTCAGGAGATCGAGACCAGCCTATGTAACATGGTGGAAGGGAAGGAGGGAGGGAGGCCGGGTGCAGTGGCCTGAGGGATCCCAGCACTATGGGAGGCCAAGGTAGGTGGATCATGAGATCAGGAGTTCAAGACCAGCCTGGCCAACATGGTGAAACCCTATCTCTACTAAAAATACAAAAATTAGCTGGGCGTGGTAGCAGGTGCCTGTAATCCCAACTACTCGAGAAGCTAAGGCAGGCAGATCGATTGAACCTGTGAGGCAGAGTTTGCAATGAGCCAAGATTGTGCCACTGCACTCCAGTCTGGGCAACACAGCAAGACTGTCTCAAAGAAAGAAAAGAAAGAAATATCTCAGAGCCCAAGCTCATGATGTACAATCTTATCACCACTTCTACATCTCATATTCCTCAATTCTGTTCTGCTGAAAACACTAGTCTTCCAAATATTTCAGACACATGAATGACAGTTGCTAAAAATACATCCCTACAATGAAAGTCCCTGGAAGCCTGACATTTACAATGGACACAATTCTCTGTTCCCCTCTCCCTCTCCCTGAAATGAAAAACTAACAATATTCTCTCCATAGTTAGGAGGTATGCTTTCAGTACAGAGCCCCTGCTTCCCTCCAGCACTAGAATTGGCTCTATTATCAAAATGTCAGGGATGCTGCTGTTGTAGACTACAATGCCCCAGGTCATCCTCAACCAACCTTTGTTCCTTTTTACCTGTGCCACTTGACTATGTTTCTCAGGGATGTTTTTCAGATGATTAGACTGCACACAGACAATGTTCCCACCTACGGAAAGAAAAAGAATTTACATGGTTTTACTTTTAAAAGACTATTTAAAAAAAATGCCTGGCAACTCAAATTTCCATTGTCAAAGTGGCACATATAGATATGAAAGCGTAAATACAAGCTCATGGCCACTTTTCAGAGAAAACCTAATTATCTCCTGGTCTAGCCAGTAAGTAGTGAATTCCTTATGGAGCTACTCCTCAACATTTTCTCTCAAGCCCCAAATGCACTATATGACAATGCCTGCTTTCTGTTCAGATTTTAAGAGGGAAATAAAATACAATTGGTTTTTACATAAGCAGAATTGTATGGGGAAAAAAAAGAAAAAATATAATGGGTTTTATTTTCTGTTACTGAATAAAAGAACACTAACATCAGTCATTTAATTCAGCACACAGGAGGGAAAAAAGCCAAGTGCATGCCCTTTAAGACATATGGATATTAAACAGTGTGACTAATACAAAATGATGGCATTTCAAGTGGATTTATTGAAAATGGGCAAACAGAAAGCTCAGGAATGGGCTGAGCACAGTGGCTCATGCCTGTAATCACAGAACTTGGGGAGGCTGACGTGGGTGGATCACCTGAGGTCAGGAGATCAAGAGCAGCCTGGTCAACATGGCAAAACCCTGTCTCTACTAAAAATAAAAAAATTAGCTGGGTGTGGTGGCGCACGCCTGTAATCCCAGCTAACTTGGAGGCTGGGGCAGGAGAATTGCTTGAACCTGGGAGGTGGAGGTTGCAGTAACCCCAAGATCATACCACTGCACTCAAGCCTGGGTGACAGTACAAGACTCCATCTCAGAAAAAAGAAAAAGAAAAGCAAGCAAGCTCAGGAATGGAATCTGGGAACAGATAACTGAAATTAAATCTCAGAAATAAGCCACAATGATTCTCCTTACCACTACATACCTCCCCTACCAATTCTCTTAAGGTAAATTTACCAGAGAAATAATTTTCAAAGATATGGGGATGTGAAATAGGAAGGCAACACTAACGAGGAGACTGTTCCCACTGCAGAAAGTAGCATAAAATGATGACAACAATGCCAGCATTTACTAAGTGTTTACTAGGTATCAGGCATATGGCTTTTAGAGGAAGAAAGGGTGAGGATTGTGTTTTCTATCACTGTGTTACAATGACTACCCATCAGAAGTATCCACAATCAACCTTGTGATCATGTTCTGAGTCAAAGACTTCTAATTTAATCTTAAGGCCACCGTATTTTCCACTTCTACTGACACTTCTCTGCGCCCTTTCATTCCTCTTCAGTCTTTGGTTTGTACAACTTTCAACTGACCTCTCCAAGTACCCAGGTAGTACCCCACGGTCTTTGGATTGCCATCTGGACCTCGGTTCACAGAGAAGGTGGACTTATTTCGGTAACCATTGATGACAGGCTGGAGAGGGCAGAAGGACAGGAGGGGGACAAGAGGTCAAAGGAAACCAAGGAGGATAACAATAAAGGGAAAGCAGGAATGTTCTCTGGATGAGGACAAATGAGGTTTGCTTGGAAGGTATGGCATATGTGAAAGTCTATGGCCAAGAAGATCAAGACAGTCCATAGAAGGGGAGTTCCAATCTTGCCATAAAGCAGGAGTCAACAAACTACTTATGTCAAGAGCCAGAGAGCAAATATTTTAGGCTTTGCAGGCCATATGGTCCCAGCTGTAACTATTCAACTCTGCCATCGTAGGACAAAAGCAGCCATAGACAGTACATAAACAAGTGAGCCTGGCTGTGTTCCAATAAAACTTTACACAATCAGGCAGCAAGACAGAATTGGCCTAAAAGCTGTAGTCTGCTAACCCCTGCAATAAATGAGATTCCACTCCTCTGAGGCCACATTAAAAAGGTTTCCAATGTTACATGGGCAAACTGCATGGGGATGGCAGGGTGAAAGGTTTCCAAAGTTTGGAATCTTTCTAAGATTCTTTCTAATCTTTCTAAGTAATAGTGAAGTGGTTGATACAATGCGTTCTCTATCAAATAGACCTCTCTTCAGATAGCTGTGAGTTTCAGCTCTGGCCCTTTCCAGATATGTGTCCTAGGCAAATTACTGAATCTCTCTGGGTCTCAATGTCTTCATCTATAAAATGATACTATTTACCCCTCCAGGTTATTGTTAACAGTAAAATGTGATAATGATACATGACAATCATTTAGCATAGGGCCTGGTCCCCAGAAAGTACTCATTAAATATTAGCTGATGTTATTAGCATTAAGGGGACATGACACGCGGTTCCATGGTGTAATGGTGAGCACTCTGGACTCTGAATCCAGCATTAAGGGGACTTAGTAGATAAGGAATAAGGAGGTGGGGGCTTACAGAGGGTATAATAGGATGGAGAAGACAAGAGAGCCTCTCAGATTTGGGTACAGCTGTTGTCACATCGACTCCATTGAGCATTTGGATGTAAGACTCTAGTCTTTGTAAAATTTTCTTCTGAGCTTCAAATTTAACCTGCAAAAGAATATAAGCAATGAAATGAAATATGGGCAGGGCATGGTGGCTCACACTTATTATCCCAACACTTTGGGAGGCCGAGGTGGGCAGATCACCCGAGGTTGGGAGTTAGAGACCAGCCTGACCAACATGGAGATACCCCATCTCTACTAAAAATACAAAAATTAGCCAGGCGTGGTGGCTCATGGCTGTAATCCCAGCTACCCAGGAGGCTGAGGCAGAAGAATCACTTGAACTTAAGAGACAGAGGTTGCAGTGAGCCAAGACTGCGCCACTGCACTCCAGCCTGGGCAGCAAGAGCGAAAGTCCATCTCAAAAAAAAAAGAAAAAGAAACTAAATACTTTTGTAGCTTCACTGCAAAGAATGAAAAACAAACAGGACAAAAGAAGAGTGTGCCACAGATTCTTGGCTCATGGTCTCAACAGTTGAGGAACCCAGAATGATAGAACAAGAACAGACCTAAAAAGTTATCGAGGAAAGGTCAAGAGTGAGCTCTTGTGTAAGCTGATCATTTTACCTGCCCTTTCAGACTGAACACTCGAGGTATATGTCAGTTCTGTCCAGTAGAGCTTTCCACAATGGAAATGTTCTGTTTGCACTGTGTTCTATGTATACAGTAGCCACTAGCCATATGTGGTTACAGAGCACTTGAAATGTGGTCAGTGGGAATGAAGAACTAAATTTTTTTTTGAGACAGAGTCTCACTCTTGTCACCCAGGCTGGAATGCAGTGGTGCAATCTTGGCTCACCGCAACCTCTGCCTCCCAGGTTCAAGCAATTCTCCTTCTTCAGCCTCCCAAGTAGCTGGGACTACAGGCACACACCATCAAGCCCAGCTGATTTTGTATTTTTAGTAGAGACAGGGTTTCTCCATGTTGGTCAGACTGGTCTCGAACTCCTGGCCTCAGGTGATCCACCCACCTCGGCCTCCCAAAGTGTTGGGATTACAGGCATGAGCTATCACACCCGGCCTAAATTTTTTTTTTTTTTTAGTTTTTTTTTAGAGGGAGGGTCTCAGTCCCATCACCCAATCTGGAGTGCAGTGGTGATTGGCTCACTGCAGCCTTGATTTCCTAAGCTCAGGTGATCCTCCCACCTCCGCCTCCCAAGTAGCTGGGACTACAGGCACATGCCACCATACCTGGCTAATTTTTTGTATTTTTAGTAGAGATGGGTTTTCATTATATTGCCCAGGCTGGTCTCAAACTCCTGGGCTCAAGCGATCCACCTGCCTCATCCTCCCAAAGTGCTAGGATTACATGGGTTAGCCACTATGACTGGCCTAAATTTTTAATCTTAATTTTAATTAACTTACAGAATCAGCCCTGCTGTAACGTGACGTAAGTGTTCCTACACCACACTATGCAAAATCACTTACAAAAAGAGCTCAAGGCTCATGGGAAAAAGAGGATTAGGCATAAAAATTTCTAAAACTTTATCAGTAACACCCACAGAAAAGATAAGAACCTAATAAAAACAGCAGCACTGTTCTGTACATGGCAAATGGTTAAGAAATATGAATAATAAACTAAGTATGGTGGCTCCCGCCTATAATCCCAACATTTTGGGAGTCTGAAGTAGGCAGATCGCTTGCATCCAGGAGTTCAAGACCAGCCTGGGCAACATGACAAAACCCTGTTTCTACAAAAAATTAGCCAGGCATAGTGGTACATGCCTATAGTCCCAGCTACTAGGGAGGCTGAGGTGAGAGGATCCCTTGAACCCTGAAGGCAGAGCTTGCAGTGAGCCATAATCATACGTCTGCATTCCAGCCTGGGTGACAGAGTGAGACATTATCTCAAAAAAAAAAAAAAAAGGAAGGAAGAAAAGACAGACAGACAGACAGACAGACAGATAGATAGATGACTACTACAATAAGGATAACACTTAACCCTAACGATGACCTGAAGTTAAATTATGGAAGTGGGTATCAGAAAAATTGCAGCTTGGGCCAGGTGTGGTGACTCACACCTGTAATCCTAGAACTTGGGGAGGCCAAGGCAGGCGGATCAGGAGGTCAGGAGTTCAAGACCAGCCTGGCCAACATGGTGAAACCCTGTCTCTACTAAAAAATACACAAATTAGCCGGGCATGGTGACATGTGCCTATAGTCACACCTACTCAGGAGGCTGAGGCTGGAGAATCACTTGAACTTGGGAGGTTGCAGTGAGCCAAGATCACGTGCTGCATTCCAGCCTGGGCAACAGAGCCAAATTCTGTCTCAAAAAAAAAGAATTGCAAAGAATTGCAGCTTGGAGTTGTCATGAAGTCGTAAAAAGAGGGCTACGTGAGTCAGATGGAAAATTCTACTAAGGGAGCTGGTAGACGTTTGAGGTGTGTGCATGCATTCATTTTATGTGTTCAACTGAGCATGGTCTCCTTTCTTTCCTTTTCTTTTTTTTTTTTTTTTGAGATGGAGTCCCACTCTGCCACCCAGGCAGGAGTACAATGGTGCAATCTTAGCTCACTGCAACCTTCACCTCCTGGCTTCAAGCGATTTTCCTGCCTCAGCCTCCCGAGTAGCTGGGAGTACAGGCGTGTGCCACCATGCCCAGTTAATTTTTGTATTTTTAGTAGAGATAGGGTTTTACCATTGTTGGTCAGGCTGCTCTTGAACTCCTGACCTTGTGATCTGCCCACCTCAACCTCCCAAAGTGCTGATATTACAGGTGTGAGCCACCCAGCTATGGTCTCCTTTCATCTAGCATTTCTTTTTTTCTTTTTTTTTTTCCAAGGCAGCCATATATTCAAGACAAATATCTAGCATTTCTTATGGACAAAATTACTCCTAAGCAAACATGAAATTTGTACTATGCTCAAATTTTCCCTAATATGTCAATTAGTTAGAACAAATTTCTCTTTTCTAAATAAGTAATAGAGCTTGTTTAGAATTAAGCAATAGAATTGACTGTACTCAAATTTAAATAGCAACATGGCTAGTGGCTACCATGTTGGAAAGTACAGCTACATGTGAAACAGTAAGAGCACTGCTACTCACATACACAGAGCTCTAAGTATAATAAAAAAAGGAAGGAAGAGAGGAAACAGACATTTGGATCTGTGGGTCTAGAGTGAGGAAGATATAATTGGCCTCAAGTTCCAATTTTGGAGTCAATGGCATAATAATTTTAAAGAGCTACTTGGGCATCAGCATAGAACTGTCCAGTCAAGGCATAGCACAGTGGCTCAAGCCTGTAATCTCAGCAATTTGAGAGACTGAGGCAGGCAGATCACTTGAGGTCAGGAGTTCAAGACCAGCCTGGCCAACGTGGTGAAACCCTATCTCCACTAAAAATACAAAAATTAGCCAGGCGTGGTGGCACATGCCTGTCATCTCAGCTATTTGGAAGGCTGGGGCAGGAGAACTGCTTCAACCCAGGAGACGGAGGTTGCAGTGAGCCTAGACTGCGCCACCGCACTCCAGCCTGGGCGACAGAGAAAGACTCCGTCTCAAAAAAAAAATTAAAACTAAAATTAAAAATAAATAAATGTCCAGTCAAGCTTCCTGTGAGTCTAATACCATTCTCGTCGAAAACAGCAGTGAAGACAGGCTGGGCACCTACCTTGAGCTGTTCTTCATAGCTCAACCTCCAGAGTGGTGTCACAACATCAGCCAGCCTTGAATAAAATAATTCAGGCAATTCTTTAATTATATAAATATACTAAGCACCCACTATGCATAGGTACTTTCAGAAGACCTAACTCTCGTGCCCTCTAGGGAGATGGAGTGTGGGAGAAGAGCCCATTTTGATGTTGTCTACTTAACAAAGCAGAACAGGTGGGTGAAACTAATATAAGAAAAATCCAGATTTATCAGGAGGTAATTAATCATATTACAAAAGGCTTCACTGCTGGGTTTCTTTAAACAGCTCACCTTCCTAATGCTTTTAAAATATAATTTCACTTAGAAAATACATTTGTTATGGGCCAGGCACAGTGGCTCACTCCTGTAATCCCAGCATTTTGGGAGGCTGAAGTGGGCAGAGTACCTGAGGTCAGGAGTTCAAGACCAGCCTGGCCAACGTGGTGAACCCCCATCTCCACTAAAAATACAAAAATTAGCCGGGTGTGGTGGCACATGCCTGTAATCCCAGCTACTCGGGGGGCTGAGGCAGGAGAACTGCTTGAATACAGGAGACGGAGGATGCAGTGAGCTGAGATCATGCCAGTGCACTCCAGCCTGGCCAACAGAGCAAGACTGTCGAGAGAGAGAGAGAGAGAGAGAGAGAGAGAGAGAGAGAGAGAGAGAGAGAGAGAGAGAGGGAGAGAGAGAGAGAGAGAAGGAAGGAGGGAGGGAGGGAGGGAGGGAGGGAGAGAAGAGTGGAAGGGGGAAAGGGAGGAAGGGAAGAAGCAAGGAGGTGGAAAGGGGAAAGGGGGAAGGAGGGGAGGGGAGGGGGGAAGGGGAAGGGGAAAGGAGGAAAGGGAGGAAGAGGGGAAGGAGGAAAGGGTAGAAAGGTGGAAAGGAGGAAGGGGGAAAGGGAAAAAAAGGGAGGAAGGGAGGAAGGAGGAAGGAAGAAGGGAAGGGAGGGGGGAGGGGGGAAGGGGGGAAGGGGAGGGGGGGGAGCGGGGAAGAGGGAAGGGGGAAGGTAGAGAAAGAGGGAAAGAGAGAAAAAGAAAGAAAGAAGAAAAAGAAAGAGAGAGAGAAAGAAAGAAAGAAAATATATTTGTGCTTATATGGCTGCAATGGGACTACTCATCTCCAATCCATCTAATATCATTCTAGGTTCCTGAATTTCAGCAAACCTGTCCTGAACTTATTAAAGACAAGGTCCCAGATTAGTATCTTCTTTCTGATAAAAACACAAAGACAAAGAGAACAGTTTATCCAACCCCAAAGCATTTCCACCAATATTATTCAGAGGTCCTCAAGTTTGCCCTGGGTATCCTACCTCAGGTGGCCCCTCAAATCCTTGTAATGCTACACTAGTTACATTAGGAATACAGAATTTCAGTAGATGCACAGATTTAGACTTGCTAAGGAGAGAGAACATCAGTCTGGCCCTTACCTTTCCTGCCAGGAATCATCTAGTGGTCCAAGATGGCTTGGTTTCTTTTGACTTTTTTGTCCTTTCTGATACTTCGTGGCTATCACATGGGTAAAATCTCCCTTACATACTGTGCCCAGAAAGAGCTTTGACCATCCTGGTGGATTTCTGGCATATGAGGGAAGCAGTCCTGGTTTGGAGAAGAGACCCACCATGGAGAGGAAGTATCTGAGGCTGTGCATTGGGACTCTTCTCTTAAGGACTGCCATTCAAAGAACACACTGAAATCCACCTGCATGAAAGGTACACATACAGAGGTTGGGAAATAGAGGTACAACTCCCAAACCCATTCATCCATTTATAAACCCTTATGGAACTCAAGCACCTAGCAGAATGCTGGCCCACAGCAGACAGTAAAAGCAGACCTGTTGAGCAGAACGGAATTACTGCATGCAAGGTATGTCTTAGGCTTCCAAAATAAAGAGATGAGGAAAATATAGTCTCTGTCCTCCAGGAAACAGTTCAACTCTCTGGATATATTTCTATGACCAATCTCTTTCCCTATTCCACCTTCCTAACCAACAACCAACCGAGCAGCTGACGTTTAGTTAGTGCTTACTACGTACAAGACATCACACCACACTAGATACCAGAGGGGTTACAAAGGCTATAATCTAATTAAGGAGACTGAATGCTGACACAGGAAAGATGTTACAAAATAATGCAATATGCTTGGTTCCTGATGAGTGCTCAAAAAAGCTTCCTAAAGCAGGGAGGCATGGCACTGAACTTTTTTTTTTTTTTTTTTTGAGACAGTCTCATTCTGTTGCCCAGGCTGGAGTGCCATGGCATGATCATGGCTCACTGCAGCCTTAACTTTCCAGGCCCAAGCAATCCTTCCACCTGAGCCTTCCAAGTAGCTGAGACTACAGGTGTGCATTACCACACCATTCTTTTAATTTATAGTAGATACGTCCAGGCAAGGTGGCTCACACCTGTAATTCCAGCAGTTTGGGAGGTCAACAAGGGTGGATCACCTGAGATCAGGAGTTTGAGACCAGCCTGGCCAACTGGCAAAACCCTGTCTCTACTAAAAATAAAAAATTAGCCAGGTGTGGTGGCACATGCCTGTGATCCCAGCTACTTGGGAGGGTGAGGCAGGAGAATCACTTGAACCTGGGAGGCAGAGGTTGCAGTGAGCTGAGATTGTGCCATTGCACTCCAGCCTGGGCAACAACACTGGAAACTCTCTCAAAAATAAATAAATAAATAGAAGATGAAATAAGAAGGCTAATGAAAAGCAATTTTGGCTGGGCATGGTGACTCACGCATGTAATCTCAGCACTTTGAGAAGCCGAGGCAGGCGGATCACCTGAGATCAGGAGTTTGAGACCAGCCTGGCCAACATGGTGAAATCCTTCTCTACTAAAATACAAAAATTAGCCAGGCATGGTGGCAGGCCCCTGTAATCCCAGCTACTCGGGAGGCTGAGGCAGGAGAATTGCTTGAACCCAGGAGGCAGAGGTTGCAGTAAGCCGAGATCCTGCCTCTGCACTACAGGCTGGGTGACAAAACGGGACTCCACCTTAAAAAAAAAAAAAAAAAAAAAAAAACGGCTGGGCAAAGTGGCTCACGCCTGTAATCTCAGCACTTTGGGAGGCCAAGGCAAGCGAATCACCTGAGGTTGGGAGTTCAAGACCAGCCTGACCAACATGGAGCAACCCCGTCTCTGCTAAAAATACAGAATTAGCCGGGCATGATGGCACATGCCTGTAATTAGCTACTCGGGAGGCTGAGGCAGGAGAATCACTTGAACCCGGGAGGCAAAGATTGTGGTGAGCCGAGATCATGCCACTGCACTCCAGCCTGGGTAACAAGAGCGAAACTCTGTCTCAAAAAAAAAAAAAAGAAAAATGAGATGGAGTCTCGCTGTTACCCAGGCTGGTTTCAAACACCTACACTCAACTCAGCCTCCCAAAGTGCTGGAATTATAGGTGCGAGCCACTATGTCCAGCCATAAGCACCTATTTTAAGTGCCTAGGACACTTGAATGGACTTGGCCTGGCATCCTATTAACCTGCTGTGAAATTTGTACTTTGCCTTTAACCTCTATCTTGGATTTCATCCCAATGTTAAGTCACAGCCTAACTCAGAATTTTATATTTACACGTGCGCGCGCGCGCACACACACACACACACACACACACACACTCTATTATTGCTAAATTAATATGCCATGATTGATAAGTAACCTAGAGGATGACAACATAGCCCATACATAATTTTGTATGATTACAAAGTACTAAAGAAAGTAACTGTTAGCCAGGCGCAGTGGCTCACGCCTGAATCCCAACACTTTGGGAGGCTGAGGTGGGCAGATCACCTGAGGTCAGGAGTTCGAGACCAGCCTGACCAACATGGAGAAACCCTGTCTCTACTAAAAATACAAAATTTGCCGGGCATGGTGGCACATGCCTGTAATCCCACCTACTTGGGAGGCTGAGGCAGAAGAATCACTTGAACCCGGGAAGCAGAGGTTACAGTGAGCCAAGATCACGCCACTGCACTCCAGCCTGGAGGACAGAGCGAAACACCATCTCAAAAAAAAAAAAAAAAAAAAGAAGTCACTGTCACAGCATGTGACATTTGTGGGGATTTCAAATATTTTACAGAATATATTTAAGCTGGCCCAGTGTTCAGGTGTTAACGATAGTACCCTCCACTCAACACACCCCCAGCAAGAGGCAACAAAACAGTACAGTTAAGAACACAGGCTTTAGAGCCATGTTCTTTCTTTTCTTTTCTTTTGAAACAGAGTCTTACTTTGTCACCCAGGCTGGAGTACAGTGACACATCCTTGGCTCACTGCAACCTCTGCTTCCTGGGTCAAGCCATTCTCCTGCCTCAGCCTCCTAAGTAGCTGGGATTACAGGCACCCCCTACTGTATCCAGCTAGCTTCTGTATTTTTAGTAGAGATGGGGTTTCATCATGTTGGCCAGGCTGGTCTTGAACTCCCAACTTCAAGTGATCCACCTGCCTTGACCTCCCAAAGTGCTGGGATTACAGGCGTGAGCCACCATGCTCAGCTGGAGCCATGTTCTAATCCCAGCTCTACTTATCACTAGCTATGCGGTTTTGGGCAAAATATTAGTACTTCAGCACTCTGAATCTCAGTGTCACCATCTATACAAATAGGACTGAAAACACCTACCTTTCACAGTTTGGGTGAGAATTAAAAGAGTTCATATATATGACATGTTCAGGACTGTGCTTAAGACAGCCAGTGTTCAACGTGTGTCACTGCCTTTCCTTAGGCTCTGATTCAAAGAAATCACTTGATTTCTTCATGCCTCAGCATCTCCAACCTGCGAAACGGACAAGATGTAATAATGCATTCAAGTTCTGTGAGGAAAAGTACAGTTATGTGAAAAATTTAAAAAACAACATACACACACAGACACATAAATTTTCTGACCCTCTACATGAGTGCCTCCTGAAGTGTAGTGAGGTTATGGCCTGCCCTGGGCTACCTGTTAATACTATCAAAAGTGTGTGGCAGCCAGGCACAGTGGCTCACACCTGTAACTCCCAGCATTTTGGGAGACCAAGGCAGGAGGACTGCTTAAGGCCAAGAGTTTGAGCTCAGTCTGGCATAGTGAGATCTGATCTCTACAAAAAAATTTAAAAATTAGCCAGGTGTGGTGGCACACACTTGTAGTTCTAGCTACTTAGGAGGCTGAGGCAGAAGGATCACTTGAGCCCAAAAGTTTGAGGTTTCAGTGAGCTATGATTGCACCACTGCATTCCAGCCTGGGAGGGAGATCTTGTCTCGGAAAAAAAAGGCCAGGCATAGTGGCTCATGCCTGTAATCCCAGAACTTTGGGAGGCTGAGGTGAGCAAATCACTTGAGGTTAGGAGTTCGAGACCAGCCTGGTCAACATGGCAAAACCTCATCTCTACCAAAAATATAAAAAATTAGCTGGGTGAGGTGGCATGTGCCTGTAATCCCAGCTACTCAGGAAACTGAGGCAGGAGAATGGCTTGAACCCAGGAGGTGGAGGTTGCAGTGAACCGAGATCATACCACTGCACTCCAGCCTGGGCGACAGAGAGAGACTCTGTCTCAAAGAAAAAAAAAGTGTGTGGCCTGTGAGAATGTATGTATTTGATATGGAGAAGAGCAAAAGCCAAAGAAAGGAAATCAATGAAGAGGGAGGAGACAGAATAAAGAATGACTAAGTGGGTCTGGGGAGGCCAGTGGCCTTGAAGCCTAGACTACAGGGAAGGGAGTAGAGCTGATCCAGGAGAGGGGTCCTGTCCCTCCAGCCAGCAGGGAAGTCAGCAAGAAGGAAACTGCAGGCCCATTTGAGGATTTGCAGAGGAGGGACAGGGAAGCTGGGGAATTTGAAGACAGCTATTCCCACCCCAACATTTAGACTTTTTTGTGAGTGTGTGGGTCCTCTCACTGGTGACTCTGCCATGACTGTAGTTCATTCGCGCTATACCCCAACAGGAGGATCCTTGTCCATCTAGGTCTTTTCCAAATTATCAAGTATGGTCTAAAATAGGACCTTATTATTTCAAGGTGCCAACCGGCCATCATTCTGGTTAAAGAGACTGTCATATTCAGTAACTTCTGCAGTGAATTTTTTTTTCTTTTTTTTTGACACGGAGTTTCGCTCTTGTTGCCCAGGATGGAGTGCAATGGTGCAATCTCGGCTCACTGCAACCTCCGCCTCCCAGGTTCAAGCGATTCTCCTGCCTCAGCCTCCTCAGTAGCTGGGATTATAGGCATGCGCTACCACTCCCAGGTAATTTTGTATTTTTAGTAGAAACGGGGTTTCTCTATGTTGGTCAGGCTGGTCTGGAATTCCCCGCCTCAGGTGATCCACCCACCTCAGGTTCCCAAAGTGCTGGGATTACAGGTGTGAGCCACTGTGCCCGGCCGAAATTTCTTTTTCAAGGCAGCACACTCATACCAGTCAAGATGAGTTCTGTTTCTTTGTTTCTTAATGTCAGGGGAGGTATTTGTTCACAGAAGAGATTATTTTCTTTTTACATTTTGTACTGGTTTTTTATTTCCTTTTTTTTTTTCTTGGTTCTTTACTTGGAAATTTCGTCCTGTTTTAAATAAATGCTTGGGAGTTTTTTCCTTAGCAAAAGAAAAATAAGTGTGTGAGCAGTTGTGCTCGACTGTTCTATACCTGCCTCAGGAATTGACCAGAAAGAGTCCTGGATTCCAGAGTAGCCCAGATAGGAATAATTCTGCAGTACTCAGAGAGGTTCAAATCAAAGAGACTATGTGGTAGGTCTGACCCACGCAGGGCCAAGGATTCCTTTTGGAGCAAAATGTTTACCCACCGACAAGGGTCCTGCTTGTACTCCCTGCTCACCCTTCCTTCAGTTGGACCAGCCCCAAACGCTGTTCCTTGCTAAACCAAACGAAAAAAATGGGTTGACTACTCCGTTCCGACTGCAGCCAACATGCAGTCAGGTCCTTCTCTCTACAAGACTCCACTGGCCCCTCCATTCCCTTCTTCTTTAGGCAAGTTCGGCCCACTGTGTCCGTAGGAAGGGTTAACAAAGAGGAGACGCTAAGAAAGGCTACCACTAAACTTGACCGGGCTGTAGGGCCCGGGAAAGACGGAAAGTAAGGGAGTAGGAGGAGTTAGGGCATAGGCCGACTCTGGGCTGTACACGACTTTGTGCAGCCACCGTCCGGCCTGTCCCCAGCCCCGCCTGCCGCCTCCATTCTCCGCCCCGCGGACAGTTTGGCATAGTAGGTTGCTTTTTGTAAAGCAAGGGTTAAATCGGTTTCTCTGGGCTATTTAACCACCTTACCTTCCTTTGTAACCAATAAATCCTCTTTCAAACCTGAGGCGGCAAAGTAAAAGGCCAGGGGATGGCCTGGCTTGCTGCGGCGGGGAAAGAGTCACTTCCTGGTGCGCAGGGCGCCTCTACTCCCGCCGCACGCGCAGCCAACCCGGGGCAAGCGCCAAGCGCGGCCGAACGCGAGGCTCCTCCCACCATCGGCTGGGCGGCTAGTCCCGCCACCTCGACTCCTCTCGCGAATCTTATGTGGAGACCTTCCTCAAAAGTACTCACAGCCCTAAAACCCGCCGTCTACCTTCTTTCTCCAAGTTATCCTCTCCTCCCCTCCCCGCGGCCCCGCCCACCACCTGCTCTTTCCTCATGGTCCCATTGGTGGATCTACACGAGAGACACAAGAAGAAACTCACACTACAGTGATAACTGCGTTACCCATCCCAGGGGTGCTTGCAGTTTAACTCTTCCAACTCAAGGAATAGTTTTCTCATCATAGAATTGCAGAGATCAGATCCATGACGGGATGAAAGATTGGGAGATGAGAAGCAGGGTGGTTTCCTGAAATGGCATCCTTTGGTAAAAGTCAGACCTATTCTGGGCCGTGAGGTTTTTCAGGCATTCATTCTCTATTTTACATTGCATCAGAAAAATATGTTATGGTTTATTCACTGGATCGCATTCAAAACTATTCAATCCTAAACCCTCAGAAATAATTTTATTCTTCAAACTACAGAACTCAAAAAGAGGCCAGACGTCTCTTTTTGCTTGATTGACTACCTCCTGGACTACATTCAGTAATACCTCTAATTTTTAGAAGAGTCATTAGCCAGCAACATGAGTAAAAGAACTTGAAGTATACACACATCTGTGTGCTGTAAAATATTGCTGCTTTAATAGAGTAAAATTTACAGCAAAGTGAACTTACAGAGCCGGGCACGGTGGCTCACACTTCTAATCCCAGCACTTTGAGAGGCCAAGGCAGGCGGATTACCTGAGGTCAGGAGTTCGAGACCAGCCTGACCAACATGGTGAAACCCTGTCTCTACCAAAAGTAAAACAATTATCGGGGCATGGTGGCACACGCCTGTAATCCCAGCTACTTGGGAGGCTGAGGCAGAAGAATTGCTTGAACCTGGGAGGCAGAGGTTGCAGCAGTGAGCTGAGATGGCACCATTGCACTCCAGCCTGGGCAACAAGAGCGAAACACTGTCTCAAAAAAAAAAAAAAAAAGTGAGCCTACATGTAGTGATATTTAATTTTTACGCTTAATTGTGCTGTTTGTGTACAGTGGCTCACACCTGTAATCCCAGCACTTTGGGAGGCTGAGGCAGGCAGATCACAAGGTCAGGAGTTTGAGACCAGCCCAGCCAACATGGTGAAACCCCATCTCTACTAAAAATACAAAAATTAGCCGGGCATAGTGGCAGGCGCCTGTAATCTCAGCTACTGGGGAGGCTGAGGCAGGAGAATTGCTTGAACCGGAGAGGCAGAGGTTGCAGTGAGCCGAGACCACACCATTGCACTCCAGCCTGGGTGACAGAGCAAGACTCTGTCTCGGAAAAAAAAAAAGTAATTGTGCTTAAGTGGAAAGTACTTTGTAGTCAACATTTTACTTATTAATATTTATTGAAAGCATAACATGCCTATTATGTGTAAGGCAATGTGTTAGCCTTAGTGAATACAGTAGTAAATTAAACAAGGCTCAGTACTCCAAATAGCAGCAAACATTGAGTCAGCCAGACTAGGGTTCAAAGCCCAGATCTGTCACTTTTCTTTTTTGAGACAGAGTTTTGCTCTGTCTGGAGTGGAAAGGCATGATCTCGCCTCCCCACAACCTCTGCCTCCGAGTTCAAGTGATTCTCCTGCCTCAGCCTCTCATGTATTTGGGATTATAGCATGGGCCATGATGCCTGGCTAATTTTGTATTTTTAATAGAGATGGGGTTTCTCCATGTTGATCAGGCTGGTCTTGAACTACTGACCTCAGGTGATCCACCCGCCTTGGCCTCCCAAAGTGCTGGGATTACAGGAGTGAGCCACCACACCCAGCAGATCTGCCACTTATAAGCTGTGCCCACTTGAGCAAGTTATTTAATTGCTCAGTGTCTCAGTTTCATCATGTGAAAAAAATGTCCACAATAATTGTACCTACCTCTTAGGGTTAAGATGAACATTAAATGAGTTAATATCGGCAAAGTGCTTAGAACACAGTAAGTACACAAAAAATTAGCTATTATCATTCAAAATAAGTTTATATACTGTGTGTTCATACATTCTGAAAGAAATCAAAATATTTGGGCCAGGTGCAGTGGCTCACGCCTGTAATCTCAGCACTTTGAAAGGCCAAGGCAGGTGGATCACAAGGTTAAGAGATCAAGACCACCCTGCCCAACACGGTGAATCTCCATCTCTCCTAAAAAAAAAACAAAAAACACATACACACACACAAATTAACCAGGCATGGTGGCTCACGCCTGTAGTCTCAGCTACTCAGGAGGTTGAGGCAAGAAAATCACTTGAACCCAGGAGGCGGAGGTTGCAGTGAGCCAAGATAGAGCCACTACACTTCAACCTGGCTGTAGAGCAAGACTCTGTCTCAAAACAAAACAAACAAAAAAGGAATCAAAATATTTTACCCCAAAATAAATTTATTTGCTGTATTTTCAAAATGTCTGCCTCAGGTTCAGAGGACTGAGATGGGGGAAATTTGCATCTGTAGAGAACCTCCTTGAATGCAGCCAGGCTTCCCATTTCTATGCCTTCCCTGGATCCAGGAGAGATTGAGAGTCTGACACTTTTAAAAGTTTGAAAGAGGCTGGGCATGGTGGCTCATGCCTGTAATCCCAGCATTTTGGGAGGCCGAGGCAGGCAGATCACAAGGTCAGGAGTTCGCCAGCCTGGCCAATAGGGTGAAACTCCATCTACTAAAAATACAAAAATTAGCTGGGTGTGGCGGTACACACCTGTAGTCCCAGCTACTAGGGAAACTGAGGCAGAAGAATCACTTAACCTGGGAGACAGAAGTTGCAGTAAGCTGAGATCGCATTACTATACGCCAGGCTGGACCACAGAGTGAAAAAAATATACGTAAAATAAAATTTAAAAAGTTTGAAAAGAAACATTTACCATCTATTCTCTCTGAAGGAGCCTTCATCTACGTAACAAGGCCACTTTCACAAACCAAGCCTCTTCCTTTCTTCCTCCCATAACCTATCTTGCCACTAAAACCTGTTTGTTTCTGTTTTTGTTTTTGTTTTTGAGACGGAGTCTTTCTCTATCGCCCAGGCTGGAGTGCAGTGGCACGATCTTGGCTCACTGCAACCTCCGCCTCTTGGGTTCAAGCAATTCTCCTGCCTCAGCCTCCCAAGTAGCTGGGAATTACAGGCATGAACCACCACGCCCAGCTAATTTTGTATTTTTAGTAGAGACAGGGTTTTACCATGTTGGCCAAGCTGGTCTTTAACTCCTGACCTCAGGTGATCCTCCTGCCTCGAGCTCTCAAAGTGCTGGGATTACAGGCGTGAGCCACGGCGCCTGGCCTCTTTCTGCAATTTCAAGATGATATATAAGCTTCTGTTCATTACTGGGAAGTTAGGTCTCCCTGCTGAAGGCTCTCATGTGTACATGTTAAATAAATTTGTGGCTGGGCGAGGTGTCTCACACCCATAATCCCAGCACTTTGGGAGAGCGAGGTGGGTGGATCAGCTGAGGTCGGGAGTTTGAGACCAATCTGACCAACGTGGAGAAACCCCATCTCTACTAAAAATACAAAATTAGCCAGGCATAGTGGCACGTGCCTGTAATCCCAGCTCCTCAGGAGGCTGAGGCAGAATTGCTTGAACCCAGGAGGTAGAGGTTGCAGTGAGCCGAGATCGAGCCAATGCACTCCAGCCTAGGCAACAAGAGCAAAACTCTATCTCAATAAATAAATAAAATTTGTATGCCTTTTCTCCTATTCATCAATCAGCCTCATGTCAGTGATATTTTAGCAAACCTTCAAGGGGGGCCAATAGCTATGGCCCCCACCACACACACACACACACACACACACACACACACACGTTTATATTTCTTGTTATCTTTTTTTTTGAGATGGAGTTTTACTCTTGTTACCCAGGCTGGAGTGCAATGGCGCGATCTCGGCTCACCACAACCTCCGCCTCCTGGGTTCAGGCAATTTTCCTGCCTCAGCCTCCTGAGTAGCTGGGATTACAGGCATGTGCAACCATGCCCAGCTAATTTTTTTTGTATTTTTAGTAAAGACGGGGTTTCACCATGTTGACCAGGATGCTCTCAATCTCTTGACCTCGTAATCCACCTGCCTCGGCCTCCCAAAGTGCTGGGATTACAGGCGTGAGCCACAGCGCCCGGCCTGTTTCTTGTTTTTTAAAGAGAGATTTCACTTCCATCCTAAACCTTTGAGGAGGTATTTAACTCAAATTGCCATTATCCTAACTGCTCTCATGGCTCATAAGCAAAATTTGAGCTCAAGCCACTGCATTAGCTTTCTAGTCCCATGCAGTGCTATCAAGTGAGACCAGGCTCTATTTTCCCCTTTCTCTTCTTTTAATCCCCTCTTATACGGATAGACAGCTCTATACCTTTTATCACCTCCTCTTCCCCTTTCTTATTCTTCCCAAATCTTTCTGCTCCTTTATCACTTCTCATTTTGGCCTTATGTGCTGTGCCTAGCACAGAGTCAGGTGTCCAATACAAGTTCAAGAAATATTAATGTTTGATTAATTGAACTGAATTTCAGGTTGTCTGCTGAAAGAGAGAAGGCATTTCCTCCCTCACCCCCACACCCACCTATTTCAAGCATCCAGGCAAATTCATTTAAAGCAGACCTGTCATTCAAGGAGGCAAAACCCTGAGGGATAAAGGGAGAAAAGAGAGTAAAGAAGCTAAAATGTAATTATTTAGCCATTAACCCCTTTATATTTATTTAATGTGGTAAATCATGTTCTTCTCTAAAAGTGAAATCATTACATTTGTAAGAGGGGAAAGAAATACCCCATATTATAAAAAAGGTCAGACTCTTCAAACCAGAAAGTCAGTAAATGGATATGTCATAGATGATAAGGAATATTGTTACGTCAAATAAGAGCTGGAACCAAGATAACCTTTTGCTTAACTTTGTTATCAGCAAACCAAATCACAACAAAGTGAAATCCCTATGAATTTGTCAAACTTTCACATTTTGGTGCAAGGAAAAGATATCTGCGAGGCTACATTATTAGCACTCAGAAATAACATGTATTAAAATTGACAGAGCAGAAGCATTGCCATCTTGGACAAGTACAACCATTCTAAAGTTTTCCTTGATCAA